ACGTGTTGTTATGGAAGATATTAAATCTTCTCACGATATTACTATTGTAGCGGAAAGTGTAATTAAAATAGAAAATGTAAGTTCACTTCAGTATGTTATAATTAGTTACAAGTATTGTCAACTAGTGAAGAAAATAAAATTTGAGTACTTATTTTAAACAAAAGTAATGTATATTTTGTGATAACAAGAGTTGAGATTAAGGTAGATTTAGTAAGTAGCAGTTAGGTTAAGTTAAGAATCTTAACGTAAACTTCAATTTATGAAGAAGTAAACATTATATAACTATTTTGGACCTGAAATAGCAAGTTAAGTCGTGTTCTGGCTGAAGAATTGTATTACTCTGTCATTTTCAGATCAAAGAAGAACCTGTTGATATCCAAGACGATTTACTCTTGGAATTCCAGTGTGAGTCATAGTTTTAGTGGCGATGAAACTACCATTTATGTGATTTGCGATTGTGTGTTTGCAACCATTATTGGAGGGATTTAGTTTTTAACATCTGAAAGCAATCTACGAGAGAAGTGAAAGTAATGAAATTACTTAATTTATTTAACCATTTGCACGCAGTTTCGAGAATGTTTATCTATCCCCATTCAGTTTTGTTAACTTATGAATTGCCCTCTCTTGAACCATACAACATTTTTGTTTCACGAATAAAAGGAAATTGGTTGTGGTGTGGTTGCCAACATTCGATATCAAGAAAGTTGTATAAATAGAAATTATATCCATAGGCATTCGAGCTACAGATTTGATTTGGTATTTACACGGAACTGGCGAGATAATTACATCATTGTGTGGTAAAATGTGATATCAAGAAAGTATTATAGAGTAGGTTGGTGGTAGGTTTAAGAAGATCTGGTTTGTGTTCAAGCAGGGGCACACCATTCCTGAAAAATTAGGGGTACATAATTTGCATACATTAATTTCTGTAAGATTGAAACCTGCCATCCAAGACAAAATTTCAGAACGGAAGTACTACGTAAAATGACCTCTATAAATCGGAAATTTGACTAACGCGAGAAAGGAAATTATTTTTAGAGAACGTATACTTGGGTGTTTATTTCTTGACGAACTTCACGGCATATTTTTGAAACAGTGAAGATTAAGCCGCTTTTCAAAAAAGTCATCAGAAATGAAATTCAAAATTATTGGCCAATTTCTCTTTTGTCCGTTTTTGCAAAAATATTTGAGAGATATTTGAGAGAATGGACACCTTTCGTAGTAAACAACACGCGTTTTCAGATTGCCAATATCGAAATTCAAAATCTAGGGAAGAGCCATATTTTATTTTCTTAAAGATGTCGTCTCATCCATGGATCAAAACGAAGCACCTATTGGAATACTTCTAGATCTTTCAAAAGCTTTTGACGTCATTGATCATAACATTATACTCTCAAAATTACCTTCGAATGGAATTCGTGGTGTTGCTCTAGATTTGTTATGTTCGTACCTTAAACAACGATCTCAGAGAGTAGAAATACCTTACTGGAATAATGGAACATTATGTACACCCCTTTCTGATTCTTTGCCAATTGCATGTAGAGTTCCGCAGGGATTCATTTTAGGCCCTATTATCTTCCTACTATACGTAAACGATATGCCCTCAACGATTAGTAACGAAAGAACAGTTCTCTATGCGGACGATACGAATATTCTTTGCAATAAAGAAACTGTAAATAGTACAATACCAGATATTTCAAATTGGTTCCGTAGTAACAAATGAATAGAACATTAAAAGAAAACGGCTTCAATGCAGTTTTCCATTTAAAATATGCAATTCTTTACTCCGCTAAAAATGAACGGCGTGCCATTGACTGATGTTAACATTTTAACATGATAACATTTTTAGGTCGTTCAATTCAATCAAATCTTAAATGGAACGTCCACGTAATTGATTTGAACACTAAATTAAGTTCATTATGCTACGCTTTCAGAATTGTTTCAAATTCAGTCAGCCTTCATACTGTTTGTTGTGTATATTTTGCGAATGTTTATTCCCGCCTGAGATATGTTAATCATCTTATAGCTCCCAAACTTTTAGATTACAAAAAAGAATTGTACGAATAATACGCTATTCCCACCCACGTGATTCTTGTAAGCCTCTCTTAATTAATCTAAGTATTTTCCCATTGCCGTGTCTCTTGATATATAAATCAGTGGTTTTGTCTTATGTGACTTACTCAAGGGCAGGAATATATTTTCAGCAAACGCCGTTGTCTATAACTACAACACTCGACGTAGTAACAGTTCACTCCAAAAAATTCACATATAATGCATGTACATTGTTTTACAACACCTAGCCAGATGACATTAAGCGATTAAATACGATACAAAAGTTTAAGTTCCACGTAAATTATTTTCTGCTGCACAACAGTTTCTATACAATTAGAGACTATACCGAGCATTCAAAAGATATGTAATATTAGTTTTAACAATGACATTTAATGTCTCATCTACTATTTGGAGTGTATAATTGTAAAGAATCTGTAACAAGTATTGTACTTCAGCTTCTGGGTCAATGACCCCTATTTCTATCAGGATTTCGTCCAGTTTTCTTGATCCTTGAGCAAATGCTGCGATAGCCCCCTTCTTTTACTTCTGGACATAAATGTAACTTTAAATTAACTTTTGCCCATAGCACGTCACACCTAGTTTTCAACTGATTTTGACGTAAATGGAAAGGGGGTATCTCACGGCATTTCACGACTTTCTCGGTCGTGCAGCATTATCGCAGCACTACTCGATACGGTCGCGATCATGCGACATCTAGCAGCATGACCCAGAAAGACGCGAAATGCCGTGAGGTATTCCATTGTGATAATCGGCCCTCACGAGACACGAAATAAAACCCCAAGTATAAAGTGATTATTACCTAGCTAAGAAGGAAATTTATTTTAAAATTTTTCAGCTTTCTGTTTCGAATGGGTCACGTCCTGAGACAACAGAGTAAACGAGTTTTTCCTCTTATACCTGCTGCTAGGGAATCTTTGATGAATTCCGTAACTGTTTCTTTGCCACTTTCTCACGCTTTGGTGTGATGTTCAAGATCGCAACAAGAACGAATACGACGCTGTCGCTTCGAATCCTTAATATTGGTCGTCCGCATCCCGTTTAATTATCAAAAGCGCACACAAATATCACAAAATAAGTTTTTTTTACAACAAATTTTATTTTAAGAAAAAATGTGTCTTTAATTTTGTAGTTGTAGGAAGACCCCGAAAAAATTCAAACTTTCGAAATTTTCGAAAATTCAGACAATCTTGAAAATCAGACCTGTGCCACCTTTATAAGTGCATTGTAATATTTTTTACAAGAAATTTAAAGAAAAAAATTGAAGCCGTTTTTGAGAAAATTTTGAAAATGTCCCAGAGGCTTCATGGAAAGTACCCCCCCCCCCAAAAAAAATTGTGAATGATTCGCAGAGCTTCGACTCAGACCAAATGGACAAGATTTTCTTCAATTTGGAAAAAATCCTACGCATGGTTTAGGCGCTAGTGTTGTTCATGTACACAAGACGAACCGACGTTTTAAAAACCACTTTTTTGGTATTTCCGTTGAAATCTCGAAAAACAATTTTCCGCTGCATTACCTAACTTTGCATATACCTTCTACGTGTGTTACTCGGAATATAGGTATGTATATGGGAAAGTAGGAAGTTACGTAATGCCGCTCGAAAACGATTAATTTTTGGCAGTACAACTTTTTTAGTAACAAAAATTGGATAAATTCAGTTGCTAAATTAAGAAAAAAAATATTCTCTCAGGAAGCCCCACGGCCAATCCTCACATGGAACTCCTGGGACATTTTCCACATTTTCAAACATTGTCCGCATCGTATTTTATCATTTTTGTTGTTGGATAGAGTGAGGGATGTGTAAGAGAATGGTGTAGGTCTCGTGTTCGTTGAGACATTTTTCGAAAATTACAAAAGTTAAAAATTTAGTCGGGGTCTTTGTACAAGTAATGTATTTAAGACGGAGATATTTTCCCTTAAATGAAATCTATTCCTTAAAGGTAGATTTTGATATAAGGTCATGTATAATTTGTCGAAAATTTGCGTACTTTTCTTGTAATTTTGCGTGAAAGTACGGGTGAGAAAGTCCGTGCAGTTTGAGTACCAATAGTTGTTTTTTTTTTCTTTTTTTTTCTGACGCAAGTGTTTTCTGTTTCTCAGCAGGGGTATCCAGCGAGACACTGACACAACATGCGAGTGACGATGCAGCTTCTGTTTGCAACTGCAGTGGTAGCTTTCGCCATGCTATACCTCTCAAGCAGACACCATTACAGGGCTCTAAGCGCAATGGAAACTGTTCCACAAAGTGTACTGCAGACTCCCTCATCAAAACTCGTCATATGAGCACGATGCATTCTAGGTCAAAAAGTACCTCGGCGGTGCTCAAGCAAATGGACAAGACGAAAACATATTATCACTGCACCATCTGCAAAGAGAAATTACCACGAAACACTCTTGTAAACACACACAGGCTCAGCTACGGAGATGAGGAATTTCAACAGTGCTCTAAATGTAGAAAGACGGACTTAAACGTGCGCATTCACACTGAAGGGAAACCCTTCCAATGCGCTATCTGCGAAAAGAGATTTACGCAAAACGCAGACGTACGTATTCACATGCGAATCCACACCGGAGAGAAGCCCTATCAGTGCGCCATCTGTGAAAAGAACTTTACGATTAAACAGCACTTGAAAAGACACATACGCATTCACACTGGTGAGAAACCATTTCGTTGCACCGTCTGCAAAACGGGGTTTTCTCGAACAGATATCTTGCATCAGCATATGCGCATTCACTCTGACAAGAAAGTATTTCATTGCACCGTCTGCAGAAAGAGTTTCACACAAAAACCAAGTTTACGCAGGCACATGCGCATCCACACTGATGAGAAAGTGTTTCAGTGCACTTTCTGTACGAAGAGCTTTACCCAAGCAGGTCGGTTACAAACACATTTAAATATCCATACCGGCGATAAACCTTATCTGTGTTCTATTTGTGAGAAAGGCTATACTCAAAAAGGAAATTTAGTAAAACACATGCGCATCCATTCTGATGAGCAACCTTTCCAGTGCCCCATCTGTCCGAAAACCTTTAGCTTAAAGGAAAAATTGTATCAACACGTGGACGTCCATTCTGATGGAAAACTTTATCAGTGTCCGGTCTGTGAAAAGAGCTTTACACTGAAAGCACAATTGCGTGCCCATTTGGGCATCCACATTTCAAAATAACCCTTTGTGGATTTTATCTGAGAGGAAGACCTCACTGTAATGCCTACTGAAACACTTATGCATGCACCCCGGGAAGAAGACTATTGGATGTCCTATTGTTGAAGAGTATGTATGCAATATGAACATGGGTAAGAATTCATGCAAACGCATGCCAATCAGGCAAAAAAGAGGCTTGTGAATGTTCAATGTGCAAGAAAAAAAACTATCATGTAAAGCAACACTCTTTAAAATACATCTTCAGTGGCAGACGTGAGAAAAGACTGAAGTAAAGGTTTCCTATTTAGCATGCAATCTCAGCCTGATGGGAATCTTAGTCAGTGCATTAGAGCGATATGTACGTACGAGTATATTATGAATATACAAATATCATTATGAATCACGCAAAATTCTCAGAGATTGCAGTAACTGGTTGTTTTCGAAATGACATACGTTGAGAGCAAGTAAAGTATTATGCAGTACATTGTACATGAGCGGAGATCAAGGAAGCCCTTTGAAAGTCGTAGGATTTCCCCAAAGAAAATGCACAAAGCCATATCTTCTAGCAGTGTTATTAGACATTCTTCGCCACCTTAAAGACCATTTAAAACGTCTTAGCTTCTTAAGTGCTGAGTCACATTTGTATTCAACATCAGTCCCAAACCTGTTCACGTCATATCACTCATTAAATACCATATCGTGAGAATTGTAATTTTTTTTTTTGTTTTCTCGACTTTCAATAACACATCTGTATTTTTAAGTAGGTAAGTATCTTATCAGTGGTTGCAGAGTCAAAATCATCGTCGAAGTATCACTGCCAATGCCACAAATTCTTTATCAGAAAAAAATTATCACATCATTCATCGGACAATCGTCTTTGAGTACCAGCACCTTGATATCATCTGAAAGAAGTTCAGAAAAAACTGCTAAAACGAACGAAATACATTCCCACGATTTCTCATTAATAGCACTAGCATTCGGTTTGAGGAGACAAATATTCGTATTAACTGAAATTCCATTAATTTCATTCAATTCCATACATTCAATTCCAATGATTCCAGAAATATGACACACTAAAAAAATAAACAATAAAATATGAGTAATAAATTTAATTTAATTGGAATATGATGCATTAATACAGCATGCACTAATATGCTATACAAAATCATCGATTTTTTGTCGTTTGATTGTGTTTTGTGGATATCTGATAATTAGCGTATTATAAAGCTCATAATTAAAAATATATTTCTTCATAAACTTCCGGGCTTTACATATAATCTTCAAAACGTGGCACGTGAACTGTGCAATTCATCTGCGTCGCAGAAATTACATGTTCTCAGAGGCGCCAATTCGCAAAAATATGATTTATTACTCGTTCAACTTTTCTTGAATGATGACCTTGCTCCCCCTCTCTGACACAATAAACAGTTGAAGGCAAAAGCTCACAGCGAGCACTGATGACAACATTCCAAACACTGGCGCGAAATACAAACTATTTTCTGTTGAAGACTAGAACTTCTGTCCGACATTTCCTCAACAAAAAAACAAAAAACAACAAAGACTGCAGCACCTGAAGATCCATCACAGGACATACCTCGAACTCCTGAGAAAATTAGAACGCAAATTATTGAGAAAGTTGCGAAGGCATTACTGATTCTCCAGAGATTAGTATTGCTTCATAAAATCTAGAGGCCGATTTCATGACTAACCTCACTCTACCCGCATTTCTTCAATCCATCGTTCAAGAAAAGGTGCGTGAGTAATACTGCACTGCACTATACTATAATATTTTGTCCAACCCGTGTGTGTAACCCATGTGGAAATATAAATACACAGACACATATATATATATATATATATACAGTAACTCGGTTTACGCCCCCTCCCAAAGCAACGCTCTTTAACATCGAAGCGACTGAGAAGATTCAGCGTCGAAATTACTGAGGGTCAAGGGACTTTTTTTAAGCAGTCTGCCTTGGAACTCTCTACAAAAATAGAGATAATTTGTTTCTCTTTTGAAAAATAAACAACATTAGATTCGTCCAAAAATTGTATTCTCGACAGTTCCGCTGCCTCAATAATACACAGCTTAAACATCCTAAAAAAGGACCCATCATTCAATGTAAAGGCCCATTTACAATGCAAACATAAACATAAGCATGGCGTTAACATAAAAGTTACGACTACGTCCATAAATGGACTCACAATGCGTTCGCATAAGCACAACACGTAAGACGTTAACTTAAAAGCTTCAAGCTTCTGTACTTACACTTCTCTAAGACATATGAAATGAACCAATCACAGTACGTTAACTCAAATTCTAGTATCGAAGTCTGTAGGCGAAGTAACGCGATATGGGCCATGGTCACAGTTAATATCTCAAAATCGATTCTTGCATCCAACCAACAGTAAACTAGAAAGTCTCACAGCCAAAGTTATTTTGCTTACCTTAATATAAGACGAGAATATTTCAGTTTATCACTTATGTTAATGTTTACATTTGCATTGTGAATGGATCTTAATAATCAACATTTCTACGATAAAATTCAGCAATGTTTTCAATGTTACGGAATCCCATTTAAAGATTTCCATAAACATGAAATTCCATGAACTCGACTGCTTCAGTTTCATCGTCCATTTATCACTTGAAAATTGACGTCCCAGTTAGAATATGACATTGAAACAAACAATCCTTCATTCCTTTTTTCCATTTAAATGAACATAGCACTAGAAAAATTATTTACAGCCTTGTTTATATTACCCAGTAATTGATAACTTAAAACACTATGTATCCTAAGTAGAGATTTGTTTTTCAAAGGTTCGTTGCTTCAGGCAGAAATCAGGTCCGCAGCTCTTGAAAAAAAAAAAAAATATCGTCTTGGGAAAACAGTGAAGGGGTAATTTAGGTCGAAGAAACGAATAAGGCAGTCCTCATGCTGCTGCGTGACCTTGACCCAGTAGGCCCCACCGCTGACGTCGCCGCCGCAACTCCCGTTTCGTAAAGTACTTGGCTGTTCGGGATAAGCCGCGTCCAGGCACAGTCAGGTCTAGGTGCCAACATTGGCGGCCGAGCCACCTAGGACGCAGCGTATCCCAGACAGACAACATTGGCGGCCGACATTTTGGATCATATGACGCGGAGTTTCCCGGACAGCCAAGTAGTTACTGACTTCGGTATTGGGGGCCTTCCGCTCTCTCCCGTTTCGTGACCGAAGACGCCGGCCAGGTGACCACGGTGCCAGACACCGCCCAAGCTGCCCAGATGTTAGTTCATACCTTATTTCACGCAGCGAGACTCGGGGCTTCAGGCCCGCTCTTCCGTCTGACCACGCGAATTTTGGAACTCTCCTCTCACCATCTAGCGGAGAAAGAAGTTATTACTCTGGTGACGAAACAGGCGATTTTGAATTTCGCTCAGAGGCTTCTTTTAGGCTTGAGGATCCATTACATGCGGTAAATCTACAACATGGGACAGTCGGCTTTACTTCCTCTCCGAAGGAAGGCGTACGAAACATTTTTTGGGCCCTAATCAATTCACGAACCTGTAAACTTTGATCGCTAACTATTGTACTGCCGAAGCCATAAATCCCGAGCGCGTGATTGGGACTTCTAATTAGGTTAATTAGTGACGGCCGTTGGGTTGCGAATTAGGAGGGGCAGCATATATGTCTGAACTGTTTCACACATTTTACCTTTTCAAAATATTTCTTGAACGAGGAAAACTATGGCATGTAGAGTACAACCGATTTGCACACATCGGGATTTTAATCCTCGTCTAAGACATATTTTTTGTTGGTAACGGAAGATACAATCGTGCTCACGGGAAGATAGGGATGTTTTCAAAAAAATATTTTCAGCAAACGAAACAGAAATTTATGAAATCAAATGAAAGGGGCGGTATTCTTGGCTTGGTTTGTAGCAGCGGACTCGGCCGTACAAAGCCCTAATACAGTAAAATGTCTAAGCAGGAATAAATCGGGTCAAAAAAGTTCCGGGTTAGGGAGGTTTCCGTTTTATGCAGAGTTGACCATTTAACTACACTTGTTTCATTGTTATTTCCGTTCTGAAACAAGTAAATTAATGTACATAAAGAAAAAATATATGATTTTATTATGATTATTAAAATAGATTTACACATAACGTATTTATGGCAGAAATCACCAATAAATGAATATTAAGCATTATTCACTGGCAGCTTCTGAGTTTCTCTTGCTTCCATGAGTTTGACCTTTTTGATTTAATGTTTTTATTTAGAATATTGCATAGTCAACTAGTTAACATTAGCTTTTATTTTTGTTTCAATGAGGTGCATTTACTACTAGAATGAAACAAAAAGAAACTATCCTCGTTATCTTCAACTGTATTTAGAATATTTTATGTATCAATTTTTTTTAAACACACCTCCAAAATACTCGAAAATACATTTCATATAAAAAATGTATTTAAAATACAAGTATTTAAATACTGGCCAACCCTGACAATTACAAATTGCAACGACTGCTGTGAGCATGTTTTGAAGTGGTTAGTAAATTTTCTAAAATTAACTCTTGTTGGATTTGAAAGTGAAGACTTTCTACATTAAAACATCTCACATACATCAACTTAAACATGTTATTGAAGACTACTTACTAATAGATTGAATGCACAATTTTAGATGAAATTCTTTTCTAAATGTTTCATGTAATATGATCTTGAGGTTTTAAAACCATTAAACAAGTTGACACATTCAATTGTTATTTGAGGACCAAGAAGATTACGTTAAAATATTTCTTTCAACTTGAAATTGCCATATGTCTTTGGTTAAAATGTTAAATGTATTTCAAACTTTATTTGGATATTTTCTTAAATATGAATCTTGTTAACAGTACTTTTAATTTAGGATTAAGCAATATTATTAATTTCTGGATTCTTTGAAGGCTATCATTCTGAAAAAAATAGTAGAATCAATACTATCAATGATGACACGTGTGACCCAAGATGCCACCTTTTTCTATTTCAAACAAATGAGAGTTGATGTATAATTAGTGTTTGTACAAACAATGTTGCGAGAGTGATTCTGTGTAAACTAGATGGTACAAAGACATTCATTGTTGTGTAACAGGAGAATCGTAAAATTCAATTACAGTATATGGGTTTCAGAAAATATGACTTTTTTTTCATAGTAATCCTCAATATTTAGAGCAATAATCTCACAAAGGTCATATGGAAAAGAATAGGTTACAATGTATATAAATAATACAGTTTTATTACAATCTTAATGCAATTTTGTACACATGACTTTCAAAACGAGAAATATCACTGCTAGTGACCTTATGAGATTTTGAAAAAACTAAAGAATGTAGGCACACACTTCCACTTTTTCTTGAACATTTCAAAAACCATAAAGAAATCCTCGGGTCAATTCAATGTTTCTAAAAGCACATAAAATGTTCCACTAAATGCTTTTTAATTCATTTCAATAGTGCAATTACCATTTGACAAATTGAAGGTCCAAATTGTTACTGGAAGTTTTGAGCAATGCATATGTTTATAGCTACCTGGGTTGGGCAAAACACTTCACCAAGATAACTTGTAAATAACCATTTAAATGCATACTCAAAATACATTAAGTTTTGATTTGCCAAATACATATGTATTTAAAATACACTAAACAAAAAGATCTAATAAGAAATTATTATATTGTGACAATATATTGTAACTGTCAATCACACAAATTTCTGAACAATAACTGTAATATACATTTATGTACAAAGACTTTCAAATAAAAAATATGTCTCACTCAAAAAACAAAAGAAATATCTTTTTAAAACTATAATTTTTTCAAACAAAACATCAGGCAATAAAGTCCTAGTTGGTGAATGTATAATACTCGCAAAGAAAAACAAACGTTCAACTGTCATGGATGAACATAAACTAGTGTTAAAAAAACAAGTATTTATTTGTTATATCATTGGTTCATTGTTTAGCATTTTTAATTATTTGGAACGCCTGGAAAAATGGATGGAATTCAAATTTAACAGCTGAAAGGAGCTTTTATTTTTATCTTAATGAGGTGCGTTCGCTGGTGGAATGCAACAAAAAGAAAATATGCTTGTTATCTTGAACTGTATTTAAAATATTTTAAGCATTTTTTTTTAAACACACCTCCAAAATACTCAAAAATACAGTTCTTGAAATAAAAATTGTATTTAAATACTGGCCAACCCTGACAGCCAGCAATTGCAACAACTACTGTGAGAATGATGTTTTGAAATGGTTAGTAAATTTTCTAGCAAAATTAACTCATCTTGCATTTTAAACAACATTGGAACCATTCACACACAAATACTATGTTTCAAAAATTAAATGTATAAAGTGTTTCTTCATAAATTTTGCACAAGCATTTGATATAACAGGTTTGTCAGAGAGTCAGACATGAAAACAAATATTCTATTCCAATATTTGTCATTCTGTAAATAAAATTTCCTATCCCGCAAAGTCAAGGCAAAATTCATGGTAAATATTTAAGCACAAAACTAAACAGGCAATTTCTCGGGGACACTGTTCACTGACTGAGCATTCAAATTCTCATCCTCACTGTGAGTTAACTTGTGTCTCACTAAACTACTATGTTTGATTATTTGCTGGCAGATTGAACACACCTGTTTTTTTTTCTTCGAAATGTTTCCACACATGCTCAAATAATGTCCTCCTGTCAGCAAAGCCTTTCTGACAGACGGAACATTCGTAATGTCTTTCTCTAATGTGAGTTTGCAGATGTGAACACCACCCGGAAAAACATGAAAAGGTCCTTTGGCAGACGGCACATTCGCTCTTCCTGACCCCAACATGGATCTGCAAATGTGTAAGCAAATCTTCTTTCTTGGAGAAACTCTCTTCGCAGACGGCACATTCAAACAGCCTCTCTACCATATGGACCTGCATGTGCACAACAAACCTCTCCTTTGCTGCAAAGCTGCTCTGACAAATCGGGCATTTGTACAACTCTGCCCCACAATGTGTACGCATGTGCCATGTAAACGTTGCTTCGTCTTCGATTTTCATATCACATATGGAGCAATGATGGGGCTGAATGTGATCCTGCATGTGGGAAATTAATTCCTTGCTCTTAGAGAAGTTGTTTTGGCAGACTACACCCTGAAGAATATCTTCATTGTTGCTCAATGTTGTTGGCCGAACTTCTTCAACCCCATCTGTAACAGATTTGTGGTGGATTTTCCTTGCATGAGTACTCACGTGCTGACGTAAATGCCCCTTAGTTCTGCAAGTCTTCTTGCAAATGTAGCAATGCAGTGGGGTGTCTACAATATGCTGCATGTGTACACGAGTCTGTAAGTGCCGAAGTAAATGTCTTCTCTCCATGAAGCCCTTCTGGCAAATGCAGCATTTATGCCGTGTTTCTTTAGAATGGAACAGCATGTGCATTGCTAAACTATATTTCCTTTTGAAACTCTGCGGACAAACGAAGCATTCATAAGACTTCTTCCCAAAATGCACATGCATGTGCCCCTCTAAAGTTTCTCCATCTTTGATGCTGACTTTACAGACGGAGCAATGCTCTGATTTCGGGTGAGCAATCAGCATGTGTGACATTAGTTGCCTTTTCTCATAGAAGTTCTTCTGGCAAACAGTACAGCAATGGAGATTTTCTGTTGTGTGTGAGGCCACGTGCCTAACTACTTCTGCCCTCTTAGTGAATTTTTTCTTACAGACGGGGCAATAATGAAGACCGGGACAGGTCTTCATATGCTGAACTACATTTGATTTCAGTGAAAAGTGCCTCTTGCACTTAATGCATTCATGCGGTCCTTCTCTGGTGTGAATCTGCATGTGTCTAACTAAACTGACTCTACATGTAAAGTCCTCCAGGCAGATGGTGCATTTATATGGATTGTTCTTTGTGTGGTGCCGCATGTGTGCAATTAGACTAATTTTTCTTGGGTATTTCTTTGGGCACATGTTACATTCAAAAGACAATACATCATCCATGTTGTTTTTTGTAGGTAATATCGAAGAGGTTTCTGTTTCACACTTCTCGCATGAGGGCTTTTCATGAGGGTGTGTGAGCTTTGAGGCTGAGATATCTCCTTCACAGATGTGCTTGCAGCAGTCACCACCAAGACTTTGGTCAATGGTGTGTCCCACTGGCATCTTTCTGGAAGTTTCTCTTGTAAGGCATTCTCCACCTGTTGACAATTCATTTTATTACTAATTAATCTATGACTTTTCTACAAGGGTAGGGTTGCCAGGCGTCCACTATTCGAGTGGAAGTCTGCTTTTCCCACATTATGTTCACTATTTTTAAAATAATGTCCACTATTTTGTGGGGGGGAAAATCAAAAGTTTCATGATAAAAAAAAAGTCAAAATGAGACAAAGATAAATCATCCGTTAGATTCTATTCTCTAAAAAAATTATAAATCCTACTTAATTGTATTACAAGACATTTAATAAAAGTATACGGAATTATTAACATACTATTTTTCTCAACTTGCATTTATCTATTTTTATATTTCTTAACGGTGTACTGAAATTAAAAAAAAAAAATTCTTAAAACACAAAGAATTGATCAACGCTGAACAGTTAAATAAAAAATACACATGACAGCAATGTAAAATGTAATTTAATATTTTACATATTATTATGATATATTTGATGTTTTGAATGCTAAGGTTTGAAGTGATTATTTCAATGCGTTAAAATGTACATAAGAAAATATATAATTTCATTGTAATTTTTTTAAATTAATACTTAACCCACCTCCCCACTTGTCTGATATTTTTTGAAAGAAGACCTGGCAACCCTATACAAAGGCTATATTGAATTTTATTACTTGTACATTCCTATGAAAGAGACGAATGTCATGCAGACATCGAATATTAAGGATGAACACAGGACCTTGTAAAATGACAGGAAAGATAGGACAGGGATAGAAAGGGCAGATGTTGTTGCCTAGAAAGAAAAAAAAAAAAAAGAGAGAGAGAGAAGAAGGTAACGATGATAGTTTCTTTCTGTTAGATTCTGCTAGTGAATGGATCTCACTAAAAGAAAATAAAAGCGCTCTTCAGCCGTTGAATTTGAGTTCTCTTCATTTTTAAGTTTCTAAATCATTAAAAATGCTGAACAATTATCCGACAATAAAATAAAGCATTAATTCCTTTTAACACTAGTGTATGTTTATCCGTTATTCATCCATATGATACTACAATATATCGTTGCAAAAACAAAGTTGTAATACAAAAAATTGAATATTCTATATTTATATATTGGAAATATTTAAAATATTTGTATTCAGCAATTCTAAACCAAATGAATTTTGATGAGGTATTTAAATACTTATTTACAAAGTATTTTGGTGAAGAATTAAAACATTAAATTTAAAGTATTTTTCTCAACCCTGAATATAACGGTTCAATGATGACTATTTTCTTAAATGGTCAAAGTGCCATTTTAATTCAAATGAAGTTTCCAAAATTATTGATAAAACTTTAAAGTTAGTTTTAAAGATCTTATGTGACCATATTACTTAATGAAGAGCAATACTTTCTTAATTCTCTAATTCTCCAGATGAAGCATCGAAATAAAATCTATAAAATTTCCCAAAATTTGTTAATTTTTTTTTTTGATTTATCAGAAAAATGACATTTTAAGAAATGTTCCCACCCCTTTTCTCATAAAATTTACAACATTTCCCTCATATAGGTCTTTATTAACATTTCAATAGCCGCACTTTAAATGTAAGGAATGTATCCTCCAGGCAATGAAGTAAAAATAAAAATTCCCATCTGCTTCATTGCCTAGGAATAGTTATAATAGTAATAAGCTTTGTGAAACACAGGATTCCAGCTGATATAGAGAGATTACTGTAAGAAGGGACCACTTTGACTGTTACAGTTTGGCCACTGCTGGCAACATAACTGCAGGTTAAGTGTATGCACTCATTTGGTCAGTTCCTTCCTTAACAGATATGTAAATGGTTTCATCACTATCCCTTGCAATGACATAGCCCTACATGATGTTCATTTCTTTCCCTACCTGTCAAGGTGGTCCCTTCTTAGAGTGACTCAACTACACTTTTATATTTTCTCTGGTCAACAATAGACTCGTGAAAAAATAACACATTTCTACAAAGGTCTGTGTGAGGAGCATACATTTTTTTAAAAACGTTTACTCATGTACCTGTATTAGATGAACTTAAACTTTCTTCCTGCTCAAAAACTGCATTTGATAAATTATCACTGCACCACAGAGGATCCTACAAGAAAAATAAAAGGCTACAATCAAAACCAAGAAATTTTTATGGGTGTTTGATTATTTGTTTACCCTTGCATTAAAGTTTTTTTGTTGTATATAAATATCCATGCAACTTTGGGAATTTCTTAGCCAGAAAAATATTAAATTCTATCAACAGTAATAAAATCATAGTAATTTTATTGGCATTTCAAACTAATTAGACTAATACTTACAATATACAAATTTTAAAGTAATCTTGTATAATTTTACAATATTAATACTTTAACCACAACTTTATTATTATCATTTTTGGATTCAGCAGGAGAAGCAAGAATAAATACATATTTGAGTGAATTCATATTTGCGTAAACGATACAAAGTTTAAACTACTGAAAATTGGGTGGCGGCCAGTGATGACCTTGTGATAACAGTAATGGAATGTTCTGGAAAAAATTATCTTCAGAGGTTTCTAAGTTATATATTTTATTTATTAGTTGATTAAAGTACACTAGTAAAAATAAGCTATTTTCTAAATATAGAATTCTTCACTTAACTAAAAAAATGACTATTTTTTATAATGTGTCACTTTTCTTATGTACCAATGATTTCATTTTTGACAATTATACAACTTAACGTTAAAGTTCTCTTCGCAAATAACTAAATGCACAAAGAAAATAATAACTTGACAACCACTAATATTTAGATTGCTAAAAACAGTTTTTTTCAACAATTAAAGAATTTGCTGTCTACTTAAAGGAGTCCCAGATAAACCTGACTATACTCTGCATGGGTTAATGCTCTGTGAATAACTAACTAGTGGCACTAAAACAGCACTTACTTTCTCGCCATTATTTTCACGCATAATTACGAGAGAAGTACTCATATTTTCAAATATCGAACATTACCTCATTTCAAAATCTCTCTTTAAGGAACAGATTTCATTAAGGGAAAAAATCTCTATCTTTAATACTTTATTTGTAGGAAGGCTCCATAATTCAGGGTTTTAATGAACATGAAACCTGCACCACATTCTTACATCCTTCCCACTATCCAAAAGCAATGGAGACAGTTTTTTGAAAATTTAGAAAATGTCCCATGAGCTTCATGTAAAATTCCTCCAAAATTAAAATATCTGTTCAAATTCAAGTGGCTAGGACATCAGCAAGATTGTTTGAAGAAAATCGGCTAAATGGTTTAGGTGCTAGCATTGTTCACACACAGACGTTTTGCCGTCATTAGATTTTTCAGTATCTACAACCCACAAAACATGGATTCTGGCTACACCACATGTTAGAGGATCCCCCCCCCCTAAATTTTGGAACTGAGTTTATCCACTTTTTTATTACCAGGGCCTTGTAATAACAGTTTCCTTTTGTGTGGTGCATTACATCACTTTCTCTTTACTTTGTAGCGAGAAAGTAAAAATGACAATTTTTTTTCTAATGTGTGAATGATTTCATCTTTGGACAACTATACTATTTCATTTAAAGTTCTCTTAGTAAATAACTAAACCCCTCATGGGTTGCTGGGTTAATATTAAGACAGCTCAAATCATTTAAAAATATGCTGCCTACTTCTGGAAATCTGACATACAACAGGAATAAACACTGTGCAGGGGATAATGCTCTGTGAATGAAAAGTAGTGTTCCAGGTTGTTGAGCCTAGAACTCCACATGCAATCAAGCAGTTTATCTGCGCAGAACTTTAAAAAAGATCTCGTTCTTGATATGGACAGATATGAGGAACTCGACATACTACTATTGCTTCAGGTAACTGAAACAGATCAAAAACATTACCAAACAAATGACATCAAATCATGCTTAACATTCACTCACCTCATACTCCTTCACATTCTCTTCTTCCATAACCTCCTCAGGCTCTACAAACACTGTAACTGGAGGCTCTAGCTCTTCCTGCAAACACAATGAAATTCACGTTTTCATTTACTATTATACAACTAAACTAGAGATTCCCAACCTTTTTCGTTCATTTATTTTATTGTTCACTGATATCCCTCATTGGGGGTCCTTATTAAGGATCCCGTACATCGAGGGAACGGTGCAATACACTAGTTGAGTCAGCCTAACTACGCCTTGATCCTAAAGATGAACAACAGATAAGAAAGAAGAGAAGCACATTTGTGATTTATATAATCGGTTGCTCCATTTCAGAAATAAATTAATTATAAAGTGCATTTAATATTTTTGGTAATCAACCTTGCTGGGAAACCCGGCGCAAGCCTTCCGCACATAAAGCAAAGACACCCAGAACCAGGCATTTACATGATGTATATTATGACACAGAGCACATATTCAACAAATGGATGACTACAGCTTTGTTTTACTCTGTCTAAACTTGTTGAATTCTGGCAAGGTGAAATCAAAGAATCTAACTGTAAGTAATGTAGGCCTGTGAAATTAATTTTTTTGCTGTGACACAGGGATGAAAATGTATCTAAACCTAATTATGGTGTGCTGAATTTAGATCTGCTTGATACTTTAACCCATCACTTACAGATTTCATGCCACACAAATTAAGTATATAGATTTTAATAAATTATTGATATCATGGCTGCCCAGATGACATTGTGTTAGAGGCTGGGTTGCCAATGTTTCAACCATCTTGTGGTTTTCCAGGCAGACCAACTGGAGGAAGACCACGGGAAAATGGCCAAAACGTCGGCAAACCAGCCTTTAACGTGGCTTCACCCGGACAGCCAATATTTCAACTCTGGCCATGGAAGCTTACAACTTTATTTAATGATTTGTTGTTCATGAGCATATTTTGAAATGTTTAAAACATTGTAAAATATGTTAAAATATTAATTGTACTGATACAATAGATAAAAATGAATAGTGAATTTTCAAACTCTCTGCAGGAAAACTATTTTCTCCTTCGCTTTGTTGAAAACAAACTCTGAGATAACTGACGTTGATGATTCACACAATTGTTGTCTCTTATTAAACATCAACAGTAATCTGCCATCATAGAAACATCATATCAACCCTGGTACCTCATTTTCATCAGTTTCATATCCTGATGAATCTCTCTTCCTGTTTTTCACTTAGTGCTTCTAAGTTTTCCAGGAAGTCTTCATGATGGGAATGGAGAAAATTTAACTTTACATTCATGTTACATCCGAGTGCCTTAAATTTGTTGAGCATTGTTGTAACAATCTGTTCACATTTTACATTTTCAAATTGCCTAGAAAATTGTTGATTACACCCTGAATGAGTTCCATGCTTGCAGTTCTACGTCAGCCTGTTCTTTTAAAACTGGCATCTTTAATTAGCAGACGAATCTGTGGGCTATTGAAAATGCCTTCTCTGACTTTGCCTGCTGACAACAATGAAAACTTTTACACAAGATATAGAAAACAGGTACAAGTTTTGCCCAAAGCTTTTACAAATTGCTTCATTATTCCTAGATTGATATGCAAAGGGGGTTGCACAATTTTTTGTGAGTCAATAACAGAGCAATTAATTACATTTTTTGTTCCTGGCATTAAGTTTCTTTTCAGCTAATCTTCAACTTCCGAGTGTGTTTCTCTGGCTCGAGTCCCATTCACATAAGAAACACAGAAATTTGGTGTACCCTCCCTGTTGTCCCAATAAAATAATGCACACGTAATCACAGAATACGTACCATCCATATACATTACATTTGTTTATATATTACTGCATAAATTTTGATAAGTTTTCTTGAGAGATGTAGAATGAGCTGTTGGAATTGAAGCAAGTTCATTTCCATGGTAAAGAACTTCTTTTATTTGAGTCAATGAAAAGATGCCAATTTTCTTCTTTACATGATTTTTCCTAGGGGGATCCAGCAAGCTGGGAATGTCCCAACAGAACACAAGCTCCCCTTTGCAAAATATTGTTTGAGTTCCTCTTCCCAATGTCTATATCAGTGAAATGTCGTTCTTCTGTCTAAAATATTGTTTTCTTTCAATCTGGAACCTAAAAGTTCATTCACCAGTTTCAAAAGACCCAAGTCACATACCAAATTGCTTAATTGGGATTGTGTCAATGGATGTGGAGTATGATCGCTAGCTCTGAGAAGTTGTCCCAGACATGTTCTTCTGCACTCAAAGAATAAGAATAACTGGTAGTACTCTCTGATAATGTTGTAGGTGGTATATGAATTGAAACATCTGGTCAATGTGGCATGGATCTTATTGCTGATGGCAAATAAGTATAGAATATGGCTGCCTTATTCTTATTATAACCAGTTACTTCACTCAGACAAAAATAACTATCATCGGAATGATTTCGTTGTTCTCGCCAAACCACAGGGACACTAAACAGCAATGATGAACGGTGTCCATTGTACCACTGTCTTAAATTTTCAATACACATTTTACAAACCATATGAGCAAGCGTTTCGTCCTGATCTCACAATTTGACTTCAAAATAGGTCAGGTACAAACTTTTTATTATTGGGGAATGTTTCTTTTCTGCTTCTTGATGACCGCATTCACATATATAACAAAAAATATTTGGATTGTTCGCACCGCCTCTTCTTAATGAATCACTCAAAGTCACCATCTTTTTAACAAATTAAAATCCAAACCACACTATACACATTCAAAACAGAACCACTGATACATGAGAATGACACAGCCCTTCGAGCACAGCATAGTGCGTACTGAGGATGTCTGCGCAACGTGCACTGCACTGCTTGGGAAGTTTATTTATAAACAATAAAGGGCAAGGAACAGAGGCTGCTTATGTTGGAGATCGTGGTCATCATCTATAACAGATGTACTGTTTTTTAAGAAGAGTTGGAAAAAGTTCAATTTCTCATGAGCACATCTTTACTTCAACTAGTCTAATGTAACAAATAATTATGTAAAATACATATTACACAAAATCTCTACGTGACACACCAAAACTAAAATTATTTTCTTATTTAGAGCATTTGATTTGATTTTTTAAACATAAAATGGTTTGTGCCACAAAATTTTCGCAGGGCAGTGTAAGTGTTGACTGCTACACATAATTTGTGATTCAACTTCATATTATATCGAACATAATGCAAATGAATGACTAATTGTAAGTAATTGTTAACAAATTTTCTGATTGTTGTGAACAATTCGGTTGAGAAAGCAAGCATTAGGACAAACTTTGAGAAAGCAAACTATAGGGTCCAACATAAAAGTAATACCTCATCTTCATCTTCCTCCTTTATGGTATTCTTCCAAGGGTCTACATCACTTAATACCTGCAAATAATAATAGTTCAATATGTCAGAAGTGTCATGTGTGAAATTGTGAAAGAAAAAGGATTAAATTACATTAAATGAAATTCCTAACATCTCTGGTGAGATTCTAGTCAGTTATGACCTCTTTTCCTCCATAAAGTAATACATGTATATATTTGAATCTTATACATGAACAGGAATATTTTTCTTATACATTTTTTAAAAATTGTATTGATTTCTTTGTCCATGCCGAAGGAATTTGTTCAACAAAATTTACTTATTATACACCAAGTATTCAGAGCAGAAGACACTCACTGTGAAATTCCAATCAGGCCTCTCCAAATTTTCGTCAGCTTCCTCTTTCACCTGAAACAAAAAGAGAGCTTAATTAAATTTATTCTAACTAAAAATACTTTAAATTAGACAGCAATTTGTCCACAATCTTTAACATAACGTTGAATACTTTCTAAAAAGGATCGTAATACAACAATCCCAACATCTCTCAGCTGATCATTACAATTTTCAAGTTATAAAGATTGTACTAAAATATTGCTACAAAGTTCGAAAAAACTTGTCACATTTAAATACGAATGTGAATTCTTTGCGATCCGAAGGAAATTAACACTTACGTTCTCTATTTTAACTATACTCTCAGCCAACATTTTTACGCTGTCATCTTTGTCCATCTTTAAGCAACTGCTCGCCTGTTAACGTCTTTTTTATAAAGCTTGATAACATGAAGACAATCCTCATGCCAGATGAAAGGCTGACAATTCACCCAGTAACCTCATATATTATACTCTCTCCCCAAAGGTTCATCCCAAGATGTAAGATAATTTTTGATTCTTAGTGCCGAAGGTGTAAGAAACATCATAGAATAACACCATGTATAGTCATTCGCGAAAACATTCTCTTACACCGTGACCATAACCCAAATTGATACATGTCAAGACGAGCTTTATCACTAGTCCTTTTACTAAACAAATTACATCATGTCTTATATACACCATGGTCACCAATGGTCACGGTGTAAGTAATTCTCTTCTTCTCTGACCGTGGGGTTGTCGTTCGCCGAGTTTTCAAGGTCTAGAGTCGATTCCTTCAGGAAACCGACCAAATCAAGGAGATTATAATATATATTATAACCTCCTTGGTCCCAATCAAGAGGACTATATTTATACTTATACTCTGAGATTTGTCGAATTCTGTCCCTGGCTGTTGCTCCTCAGCTGTTGAGTTTTATCCAATCGAAAGCATGAACGTTATTATAATGACGTTCCTATGGTGACGTTTAAGCTCTCGATTGGAAGAAAGTAGGTCGACATCTGTCAGGGGCAGAAGTTGAAAAGGTGCAGTTTAGAAACAATTATTATATTAAATACTATTGTTGGCAATGACACGTCTATATTATTTCATGAAAATGCCAACGATAACGCCCACAACACCTATATACTATTATTGTCTTAATCGCTCACTTTTCTTGAATGATGACCTTGCCCCCTCCCTCTGGTACAAAAAAAGTTGAAAAGGGCAAAACTCGCAGCGAGCACGTGATTGACAACATTCCAACACATCTTCACTGGCGCGAAATAGAACTAATTTCTGTTGAAGACGAGAACTTCTGTCTGTGATTTTTTCCAAAAAAATCTAGAGAATGACCGGGGAGGAGTGAAGGTTCATCACGGGAGATACCGGAGATACCTCGAACTCCTGAGAAAGTTGCGAAGGCATGACTGATTCGCCGGATATTAGCATTGCTTCATAACATCTGGTGGCCGATTTCGTAACTAATACCCCCACTCTTCCTGCACTTCTTCAATCCGTTGTTCAAGAAAAGATGCGCGAGAAAAACCAAATCCTCCCGTTATTTTGGCCGATGTTTGCTTAGACAAATAGTGTTTAAGTGGTGTTAACACTATTTGACAGTGCCTTATAGATGGACTTGGACAACGTAGAAATCTTAGCTGAGAGTATTATTAAGATAGAACATGTAAGGGTTCATTTCCAGAGTTACAGACTGAACTTACATTAGTATTTCCCTGAAAGTTTAAGGCTAGTTCAATTGTACAACGCGCGTAATATTTTAATTATTGTAATGCCAAAGTTTGCAGTCCGTGGATAGAAGTTAATGAATAGTGTTCAATTTGACAATTCGTTTGTGATATTGAATGTTATGTTGGACACATTCCTGCCTCTTTTAAGGTGTAATTAATGTTTATAAATTTTATTTACTTTCGTTCTTAGGTTAAACAGGAAGCTGATAATTTGGACATACCTATCTGGAATATCACAGTGAGTCTGCAATTTGTGTTTAATTGGAAAATTGTGTTGGGCAAATTGCCTCTGCCATGATATCAATGTCTTTTAACCCATAATCTGGTTCCTCTTGAATTATGGGATAGAAACTGATGATATTGTAGGAAAGTATTTTATAAAATTCCAATGATAGCACCAGAAGAAATCTACCTCTTCTGGAGAACTCGAAACTGGGTTGTATGCTCACGCGTTACTGACTTGACGAGGGATCTGGGATAGGCTCTTAATAAAGTTTTTACCTAGCTGCATGTCTTTGGAAATAAGAATTTTAAAAATTATAAAATATCTATTTACAAAAACAGTACATCTTGTTCAATGCAGAATATCAAGGGAACAGTATGTTTTCTATGTAAGACAATATTCTGCATTATACAGTGTAGCGATGTAGAATTTATGTTCACATTAGACATACTTTCATATTGAGCAAATTTTACTGAATCTGTTATTTAATGCACTGTTTTATTTCAGATAACATTTATCCATTATTTTCATGTAACATAACATTTATAAATGTTTAAAACATAACATAACATTTGATATAATCAAGAATATCCAATGCTGCTAGTGTTTTAAATTCACTCAATCTGTAAAATGTAAACGTTTGAGAGAAAAAAATAACAATACCAACTTATTGCCTGGCCCTGGTAATGAAAATGGGGATAAATCCCATAGCTACATTTAGAAAAAAAAAAGTTCTCTAACCTGGCCTAGCCAGAATCCATGTTTTGGGTAGTCCTTGATAATGAAAAATCAATGACAACAAAACAACTTCCCATTTGTCTGTCTGTGAACAACGCTTGCAGCTAAATTGTTGTGGCAATTTTCTCCAAAATTGAGATTTCCCTATCAATTTAGCTGATGTTGCAGCCCGTTAAATTTGAAACCATATTTTTATATTCATTTGTTAAAATGCAAGTGAAAATTTGGATAAAATAGAGGGTTGATAAAGAACTTGAACACATTACTTGGGCATCAGTCAAAAATACAACAATAAAATATAATAATAGTTTCTTTATTAATGTTCCAAGACTTGGATCATTTCGTTTAACCATGGAATACTAATTTTTTAAAATACAAAAGCTGAAATAAAAATTTTCTAAGATACAATTAGTAATATTAAATTATAAAAGAAATCTTGTCTTGCTCTTGGGCTTTCAACAGCAGAACGGGGATTCTTGTGTAACGAAAAAATAATATTTAAAAGAACATCAAAAACATTAAAGATTCAGGAAACCCTAAACATGACAATGCTAGAAAAATAAGACTGTAATAACGATTGATTTTGTGGGAATTCTGATGCGGTATTGTTGACGTAATTACACGAAGAAATAAAAAGTCATCTCCGCCAACTTAATATATTTATTTAGTGAACCGGCTGGCCACGGCTTTGCCGTCATCAGGTTCGCTGTGTGTAGCAAATTATAGCCGAGCACAGTTTTTCGACTATTGCCACACACAGCGAGACTGATGAAGTTTTTAATGTTTTTCATCTCCCGCAGGACATGAAAAATCGTTCCGTTTCCGTGTTGGACAGATTCCGTTGTATGCTGTAAAAGTAAAATGCCATTTCACTTCACGGGGTAAGGAAATTTTCCGTTTAAGACGCGTTTACGGCTTGTACATATTCCGGTTTAGACAGATTTTACTGTAAGAACTAACTTCAGAGATGTTAGAAAAATACATCATTTTTAAAATGCGATATAATACTTTTCATTTTACTTGTACACATTACCATTTTCCACTTGATTTTGAATTTTCAGAACACACTTGAACATAATACCATATCAGACCAGAGATGGAGTATTTAATTTTTTCTCCTTTTTTTCAGAATCGCGGTATTTTACATTTCCTGGAAGGTTATTCCATCCTCCGATCGTTGTTACTTTGCAAGATTTCTTGTAAAAATTGGTATGGCGTAGCAAGAGGAGAGGGGGTTTGAGCTGCGTTTTACTGCTTTCTAAAGGGGAAGGGAGGGTGTTAATTTCGTGTTACGTTACACTGACATAAATTACGCAGCCAACACATACACTAATTGTGTTCATGCTTGGGTATCAGACCATGCTTCCTGTTTTTGGGGTCGCTAAATCCGAATCTGGTGTCCGTTTTACTCGCATCTCATCAGGTTTTTGACATAATCTTAACAATATTTATAAAAAAAATATTTCTAACGGTGGGGTCAGACTACGTTTTGGAGGTTGCTGAAACCGAATCTGAAGCCCATTTGACTTTATCACATCAGACTTTTACTTTCTCGCACTTAAGAAGAGAAAGTATTGAAACCGTCCGCTGGAAAACGGCGAATTTTCGACGCAAAAACCATTGCCCTGCCCTGTTAAGGAAAAAGTGGATAAATGCTGTTGTTAAATATAAAAAAAATCCTTTAACACGTGGTGTAGCCAGAATCCATGTTTTGTGCGTCCTACATACTTCTGTCTGTGCACAACGGTAGCGCATTAACCGTTCTGCCGATTTTCACCAAAATTGATATTCCCCAATCGTTTGAACTGATGTCGCCGACCCTGGAATTTGAAACCGAAATTTTTATTTTGCTGTGGAGGAGGTACAGTGGCTTAGGCAGTGGTAGCAAGTTTTTAGCCTGTTGCGTCTGTATACACGCAACGCGTCTCCTAGTTCTTAGGAACGGTGAGCTAAGTCCCTTTGTATACCTATTCTGTATACAGAGAGGGACTTGGTTGAGCACACTGTGGAGTGATCAGAGATTCTCTTTTATTAGGGAGTTTTAGCGCCACGCGTAAGGTAGCGGCGTTATGCACTAACAGTCACGTGACAGACC